ATACTTTAGTTTTGAAAATAAATGTTTGGAATGTAGCAAATTTTCAAGTTAAAAATACCTGTAACAGGGAAGAATTACGCTATAACAGCCATAAAACACAGTTTGGCGTATTGAATTGAGTTCAGTTGCTTGTGAGGATTGTGTTGGTGTGTTGTTAAGCGCAAAGCTACACAGTGGGCTATTTGTGCTCTGCCCACCACGGGTGTCGAAAGCCGACTTTTAACATTTTAGCACTCGAACTTATTGGGGAGCCACTAGGTGAGGGGCTGTTTATGAGGAGTTGAAATTATCTTGTGAAGTTAAATTCGCAAACAATAGCTGGTATTATGCCAAAGCTTTCAAATGTTGTTTGAAGACGTCTGTTATGTGAAAGTTGCGTGTCAGATGTAATATTTCATATTGAGGATCAAGTGTTTCAGCAAAATCTTAGTCAGCTCTGGTGTGTAAGTTTATATTTGTGTTCTGGATGTGTTTTTGGATTTATTTTAGAATTTCGTAAAATATTGAAGCAAATTATCTTTGCAATGGGCTGTCGCACAAGTCTGGATAGGGCATCCACTAGAACTGGGCCGTCGAAAGGCGGCCATTGTAACTTACACTTACAGGGGTAGCCTTTAGATGTCGGAAAAAGCTGAAAATTCAAGTTCTAGATCGGGTAAAATTAAACATAAATGGAAAATAAATCTTATAAGAAAAAATATAGCCAAAGGTTTTAGAAACTAACTTGTTTTAGATCTCGACATTGTATTTTGAGCTAATGTTACTGTCATGTCTGATGTGATGATTAAGAACAACGTTCCTTTTTTGGTTACGCCTCGTTGTAAACTAATGCTGTAGTACTGGTAACACACCCACCATAGTATAAAAATAGCTTTTATTAAAAAGTTAACTGTAATTTTATTTCTAAGATCTCTCCGATAGGTTTCATTATTTCAAAGTTGTAATATATAATTTAGAAACAGCGTAGAATTTGAAAGTGTTACTGTTGCGTTAGCATGTAAAGTGAAAGAAAGAAATTTTTTAAAACCTATATTGACTAATACTAATAATTGAGTATTTTACATGTAATGTTAGGCCTGTTTATATTGAAAGTTAAATCTGTAGAATTACCATGTCATTTTTAGCTATTTTAGGTTTTAAATGTTAAATTTCTGAGTTAAAATGTAGATTAAAACACTTAAGATTCAGTGAGTTAATTGTGAGTACTTAAGAAGTCATGAAATGAAACTAACATGGTGTGTTAATTCTGTAACTTCATAAATAGCAGAGATCCTACTTTGAGAGTTATCTTTGTTAGAGACTAGAAACTGAGAAAGGTTAATTGATTGAAGAGTCAAAAAAGATCTGTATTCATCAAGTTAAAATTAGGTAAACTGGGCCAAAGGCAGTATATTATTTTAATTTTAAATACTTTTTGTTTTCTTACTTCTATCACAGGTTACTTACTTTGAAACCAACAGTTTAACCACCACTCCACTCTATTGTTGAATTCCCTGTCTCATCAGTTGAATTGTTTATTTGTCATTATTGTTTTACAGTATCTTAGTCTGTTAATACCTCACTTACCTACTTGGTCCATGGAGTTTATTGGTTGTGCAGAGTAAAACTTCTTTGTTCTGTTCACAGTGTTTTACCATTTCAACTTGGTACCATGTAATTGTGGTTAAATGTGAACAAAATAAAAATTTTACATTTTACGATAAATAAAACCTTGTGTAAAAATGAAAAAACAGAGATCTTTTTAATATTTAAATAATGCCGCTTTGTTGCTATGAAGACTTGTGCATCAGAAGGATACTGAAATAATTTCTTTTATTTTGTGCATTTTGACAGATAAGCTTTTGAAAGGCTTATATTAAGGTACCTCAGAAGGGGTTGATTTCGAAGTTTGATTATCATGGTGCTAATGATAAGAGCAGATTGCTTTTCAAACCATTTAGTTTAAATAGCATAATCATATCTAAATAATTAATTAACTTGCTTCACATACGTAAAAGGTAGTTGTAAGTTTATCATTTTATAAAATGAACAGTTGTGAGCAATAATGCTCTTATTGACTGTTTGGGACTCTTTTTTTTTTTGTTTTTTAACATATAATTGTTAAGTACTAAAAGTTCATGTATTGTGTCTATTTGAAGATTATATCAGAAGTTTAAGTCGAACTGATTATTTGCATAAAGTTTCCTTAATGCAAAAGGATCTTGGTGATTAGTGAGTAATCTCATATTTGAAAGATGAGCTAATATTAAGAGGTGCGAGATAAAACTCTTGGGTGCAATAAATTGAAAGATTGTAACTGCATAGAAGATGTTGTTTAGAAAGAAAAGAATTTGGGTGTGTTTACTTGTAAGACTGAAAGTCAACTGCCTAGTGTTTAGGTAGAGTAATAGAGTACTGGGTTTTATTTATAGAAATTTCAATTTTAAGAATGGGGATTTTAATTTACCTTTGCATTAACTTGTTAGGTCTTTTTTAGAATAGCATATTCAGTTTTGGTTTCTTTCCTATAGACAGATTATGTTTGTTGGAAGGCACAGAGAGAGAATGGTTACTAAAATGATTCCCAAGAATGAGTAAGATTAGAGGAGGTCATTTTGTCAGTTGAACTCCCTTCTCATCTCACCAGTGCAACATTACTGTATCATATAACCTATGGACAACACAGGATCATTTCTTCCTTCATAATATAACATGGCTAACAAGTATGTAGCCCTTCACATCCATATATCTCTCTCTAACAGAAACTTAATAAGATTTAAATTAACATCATAAACTACATCTTCAGTCAATCTGTTTATAAGTTACAACTATATAGTGTGAATCTGCTTATTATTTTAATCCATGTTTCAAATATTTTTCATTCATCCATTCAAACAGACCACAGGGAGAAGATTATCCAATCCATGGTTATTAACACTTTAATTAAGACCTCAAGTTTTATACATGAGAGAAGAATTCAGAGTTTTAACCTTTTGTTATCATTTCATTATTTAAAGCAAGAACCATGCTTGTTACTCCTTTCTGAATGTTTTTGAAGAGTTCATATGTCTTCCATAGTATGGATATCTAAGGTGCATATGGTAGTCAAAATGAACCCAAGTCAGAGGCTTTTACAACTGTAACCTTTCAATAGCTGCCTTCTTATTTTCAAAATTCCTATTAATAGAACGACAAATCCAGTTTACTTTTATCACTAGGATGAAAAACTAAAAAGGCTTCCCTACTTTCCAATAATATGTAAATGTCTTTTTTTTTCTACAATTTTGATACTTTTGGTTCTCACACACTAAATCTTTTTTTCCTTAATTTCTGTACAACAAGTGGATAACTTTAGAATTCTCAATATTGAAATTTGTTTTCCATATTTTCATCTAGTCTCTGAAACTCAAATTGAATAAGAGAAACATTTTGAAAAGAATGACTCTTTGCAACATCTTAGTATCACGAGCAAATATGGTAACTTCACTAACTAGCACAAATAATGAATAACAAAAGTGTCAGATATTCTTCAGAAAGATGAAACTAATCACTTTCTTCCAACAGAAAAAATAAGTCACATTTATCACCACTATTTGTTTTTACTACTAAGCTGATTTTATTTCTCTCTAAGTCTGCTATCATAATTTAAGATTTAGTTGCCTCATCTTATAAACAAATTGCAAACATAAAGAATCTTCCTTTTTTTTTCTATGCTTGCTAGTGACCAGAGAAAGGTACTAGCCCCTTGCTAGTAGACATGAGAAATGTACTAGTTCCATGAAAGTAGATACGAGAAGTGTACTAG